CAGACCAGTTGAAGGAAGAGCATAGGATGAAATTCCTGTGGCAGCTGTGACAAACGATGAAAACAACAGAAGTTGATTGTCTTAACTCCCTGGAGGCCACAAGTCTTAAAAGAGTCTTAGTGAGTTACAGGCCAAGTGTCTGGAGGGGTGGTTCCTTCTGGGGATCGAGGGTGGTTCCTTGTCATTTCCAGCCTCTGGAGGCTGCAGCATTTCTTGGTCTGTGGCATCATCACTCTAGTTTCTGCTTCTGTTGTCAGCTGTCTTCTCCTCCTTTGTAGTCAAACTTCCTCTCCCTCTCTCTTATAAAGACACTGTGATGGCACTTAGGACCCATAGGGATCATCCAGGATAATCTCCATCCTTACCTTAAGCACATCTCCAAAGCCTTTTTGCCATATAGGGTAATCTCCAGGGATTGGAGCACAGATACCTTAGGGATTATTATTCAGTCTACTCCAGGCCTCTTGGCCTCCCGCTTCTGTAACCCTTCTTCTCAGCTGGGCTGTTTGATTCTGCAGGTGCTGCTGAGACATGCTTGGCTGCTTGGGCTCTGAATTGCTCTAACAGCAAACTCTGCCGCCACCTGAACCGTTTTGAGCCTCAAGGTTTGTGTCCTTATGAGGAGAAGAGAATCTGGCCAGATGAACTTTGGATATTAGGGTTTGAAGATCATAACAACGAGCAGGGGATGGCAGCTGCCGATGCAACTTGACAGCTGAGAAATGCTAGCAGTGACAAGGTCAGCATATATAGAGGAGGGTGCTAGGACATTTTGAAAATTTGAATGGTTGCTATTGGTACAGGATCAGATTAAGAAGAGTAGCAAACATAGAAAAGACAGCTCTATACACACATTGCTGCAGACACCAAAGTCCCTCTTTCCTGTTCTGCCTTGGAGCCGTCTTTATTTTTTTATTTTTTCCCCACCCACATCCAATCTGTCCTGTTAGCCTGCCAGTTCTAACATCCCAGTTTCTATTCTTTTTCCATCTGATCACAGAGCCACATCCATGCCTAGGTTCTGCTTTCCCCCACCTGGGCCCTGGAAACCTTAGTCCCTCACTCCAGCATCTCACTTCCCCAGCAAATACATTGGCCGAATTTCTCTCTTCACTAGAGGCCTCTCAGGTCCCTCTTCTGGTTGAGTCCAACAAGTGAGTCCTCATCACTTTCTGCATAGAAACCTTTTTCTTCCATTTATCTCAAAGCATAGTTGGGCTCCCTGTCCTGCCTAGTTTTATCTTCTTTTTTCTTCTCAGTCAAAAACAATTCATGGTCGCTATTTCTAGCTCTTCTGCTTTTCCTATCCCTGTGCCTGGCACAGCACCCTCCTCTAAGCCCATATTGGTTAGAATACCAATGCTTCCACCAAATCTGTAGTTAAGCAGAGAATCAGTGTGATCCTAACCTTCCAGCCCCAGCAAATGGAATACAACGCACAGCATACCTTCCCTCTATTCCTTGTGGGTTTATAGGAAGATAAAGCAATAAAACCAAGAACTTAGGATAATGTTGGAATGTAGGAAGTCCTCAGTAAATGGTAGCAGTCAATATCATTATTATTACTAGTTTAGTTTAGCTTAGTTTTGCATTATTTTGTAGATGCCTTTTTTTTTTTGTACTTTGCTTCACTGCTCTTTCCTGTAGCAAATCCTCATAAGTGTAGACTACTTTTGAATGTGAATTCTGCTTTTAGTGACTAACGTGTTTTCATTAGTGTCTGGTACAGCACTAAGTCTTATAGACATTTTAAAAATGTCATCCAAAGATGATAATTATTTAATAGAAAGATTATAAAGAAGAAAGAAACTATGGATGCCTCACAACACGTTTCTCCCATCCTGTAAGAGTCATGTTAATCCAAAGTCATCAGCATACAAAGAGTGTGCAAGGACAGTTTATGAGGAGGGTGTGAACAGGAAGGTGGGATCAAAAGTGTTCTGAATTGATGGGACTGCTTATCTTTCTAACCTATAAAGCTCTCCGAGGTTAATGGATTGTTCATATAAGCAACTTGAATCTTGTAAGTTGTTCCTGTTTTTCTGACCTGATGTGTGAATTTATCACCTGACCAGGGAAAAGAAAAAGAAGATCTCTGGTAGAATGAGGCGTGAGCAAGAGCTCCTCAGGGTTGAGTCCAGTGTTCTCCTGACTCCAGTTCTATCAAGGGACAGCCATTTGCCTCACCTGTCCTCACTGCATTAGGGAGCACTGTGTGCTCTTCCAAAGAAACACATATCAGTGTCTGTAGAAAGGGGCTAGGTATTTCCAAAAAGAAAAACACCAGAGGGAAAGGAAGAACCCTGCCCATCTTGCTCACCAGGCTATGACATTATGCACAACATGGAGAACACATTTCATTCATGTCATTGAATAAATAAATAATAAATGAGTGAATGAACTTCTGAGTGTGACTTCTCCTTCTTTGAATGTGTGAACGTAGTTCCTTCTTCCCTAATCTCTGCTGAGACTGGTTAGAGGAGGCACAGCTCCTGAGTATCCTCTCTGCAGAAGACTTCCTTAGGCCTCAAAGCTTCCTCAGAGCAGGGGTAGAACAGAATGCTATAGTTGCACTGTGTTCTTTCCGTTCAGGCTCTACTGGGGCCAATTTATTATACATTAGCTCATTAAAGCCTGGATTCTAATACGGTTACTGTGTTTTTATTTTCTCCCTAATGTGAAAATTATGAAGATGGCTCAGAATGTGAAAATTGGCCTTTATTTCTCTTCCAAAAAGTTTCCATACAGTCAACACGTCTTTGCAACATTATTTAGAAATACATTTGAGGCATTTACAACCAAAGAGAACTAGCATGCTTTCTCACACAGTTTTCTGCCACAAAATTCCTATCTACTTTTTTAAATACAAAAGGATATTTCTATATCATTCCCAAGAACAGTTTTTAAATACTTGTTGGGTGCAGATTGCCACCCTGTTGTGGGTATTTGTTGGGGTTGGCTGCTCAGCATCCATCTATCTTTCCTGGTTTAGGGAGAATCTCAAGAAAGCTGAAGGCGCGCATATATTTCATTTTCCGTCTCCTCGGCTGCTGGAAGGTGTGCAAGTGAACTTGCCCAGTCCATCAGATGTCCTTACCGGGTACTGAGTCTGCAGCCTGTGATGTTGCTATAGATGAGAATGGCAGAGAAGCCTTTCTGTGGTCAGGGCAGTAGTACCCTGGGTTCAGCTGCAGGATACCGTAGTAGCAGCGTCCCGTATTCAGTGTCAGCCAGGGTGTCAGTCCTACCAAGGATGAGGTGCAGTGAGCAACAGCAATGACGGCCACAACATCCTGCTTATCCAGACCCTTTATAGGCATGATTTGGGCTCCCCTTCTGGCAGTCTGAAATTTCATGATTCCTGACTTTTTCAAACGTGGTTCTCCATCCTTTTTACTGATACTGGAAGTGGATAGTCTTCGAAAAAGCTTTAGCACCCGTTAAATGATGTTAATAAATATTAAACACAAAAGGCACTATAATTACAGGTAAGCGTATCTTTTAACAATCCTAAGACAGTACAAGAAATGTGGCTTTACAGGCCTGATGAATTAAATAATGAGTATTTATTTTATTCTGAAGGTTTTTCTATAAATAGTTAACCCTCTTATGAGTTGTGAATGAAGTGTGGGATAGATAATAAATTTAATAAATATTGCTATCAAAATAGTCAAGAGGACACATTCAGTTAAAAAAAAACAAAGTAGGGGTTGTGATGATTGTTTTTGGTTGTGTCAGAATCTGGATTTGTAGGAAAGATGAACTGATCTGCACTGGGGAGCCCAGAAGATTTTTCTTAAGCCCCTCCTCTTTCCAAGACCACACCAGTGGCTCTTTAGTCTCTGTCTTATGCTTGGGTTCCCAGGGTGTGAAGCTCTCTGATTCTGTTTCCAATGTCACTCTGCCCTTGGAATGAAGCATGCATTTTCTCAGGATAGAGGAGAAGAAGTGGTAGTAGTGGAGTGTATAGTCAATTTTAGAAGCACAAGCTTTCTTGATTTGCCTTCATACTGTGTGCATTTTGTTTTTCTTTGAAAAACATACACTGATGATATTTTACGGTAATCAAGGTATCAAAAATAGCATCTAAATGGGCTTAGAGTTTTTACTCCAGGTGTGGATTTTTTTGTCTTCAGGCCATGGTGTAAGAATCCACTTGGTTGATTAGACTTCTGTGCAACTCCTCCACGCTGTGGAAAAGCCTGTCTTACAAAGTTGTCAGATGGTCTTACGCATCCCTTCACTGCACCCATTTAGTCAATATCTTAATTTTTAAATTATCTAAGAGACTTTAAAAGAAATCAGTGATGAAAATGAAGAACCATTATTAGTCTAATAATAGATAACACTTCATTACATAGAAATTTGAAAGTAGTATTAATAAGAATAGTATATAAAAATATTGTCTCTGTATTATTTATGGTTTTCTTAAACCTTTAAAAGATTCCAGATTTTAGGAGAAAAAGGTGAAAAGAAAGTCCATCTAGCTTGAAATTTACATTTCCCCAAATCTACACACCAAGGGAAAATTTCCTGTTTTAAAAAGGTGTGTAGAAAATGCATGTGCATGACATAAATAGGCACATATTTAAATCCTATGAACTTTACCTTGATAATTGTGCTCATCTATTTTAATACTAATATTGACATTTTTCTATGTTGAGTTGATTTTCATTTGAGAAGCTTTAAATGCAAGCTTGACATTGCCAGGGTCTTCCTTCACTTGTGATTCAGGGTGACGAACTGATTCTTCTCTGAAATTTAATCTTCTCCCTCTAATCCTTTCATGCCTTTCAAAACTTTACATTGGTTAAGTTGAAGCCACGGGGTGAGTGCATTCTCAGATTCCTTCCTTGCTGCCTTCAACCTCCTCTGCCTCAGGATTAAGTGGCTCTCCTTCCTTCCATCTCTGTACTGTGAGTGCTGTCCCTGGCACTCCTCCAGACGCCTCTATTGGCCATCCCTCTCTATGTTCTTTTCTTTTTTTTTTTTTTTTTTTTTTTGAGATGGAGTTTTACTGTTGTTACCCAGGCTGGAGTGCAATGGCGCGATCTCGGCTCACCGCAGCCTCCGCCTCCTGGGTTCAGGGAATTCTCCTGCCTTAGCCTCCTGAGTAGCTGGGATTACAGGCACGCACCACGTGCCCAGCTAATTTTTTGTATTTTTAGTAGAGACGGGGTTTCCCCCTGTTGACCAGGATGGTCTCGATCTCTTGACCTTGTGATCCACCCGCCTCGGCCTCCCAAAGTGCTGGGATTACAGGCTTGAGCCACTGCGCCCGGCCCCCCCTCTATTTTCTTTAACCTCCCTGCTCACTGGCATTCCCCTCAGTACCTCCCTTTGACTCTTAACATAGAATAAACAGACTCAGTTATTTCCCAGGTGAAAGCCAAAATACTCAAAGCCCAAATTTTATTCAGTACTGATCACCCTTTCTCTGTCAGCTCTTGTAAGGAAACTTCCCTCTGATTAGTGACATTTTGCTAAAGCCAATAGACACATCCCAGTTCATATGCATTGGATCTCTCTGGTATTTAATCCCAAATATTTAACATCTGGAAAAAGTCATATTAAAAATCTGATTCTCGTTCCAGCTGCAGCTGGAATCTTCACTGCTCTTCTTTTAGCCTCCTTGACATTTCTCTTTTGAGTTTTCAAATGTTCTCTGTGGTCACTTCTTACCACTTTTGTAGGCTTACTGTTGTTGGCCAAACTTTGGTATTACCCAGGGTAATGCCCTGAACCTGTATTCTCATTGTGGTATTTCCCATGTAAGCCCATGGTTTCATCTATGACTGTATTCTAAAGCCCTCCTGATCTGTATTGTCCATTTAGATCTCTCTGCTGAGCTTCAGACTGGTATTTCCTATCATATGTGAGATATGTCCACAACTCCATTTATTACATGTTGTTCCAAGCATGCTTCCTCCTGTCTCATGACCCTAGGAGAAACTGAGTGAAACACATGTTAGTGATTTCTCTCACACACACTTAGTCCTGATTTCCACCATGTTTATACCCATCACTATTCAGTAGACTAAGTCCCCAAGTCTGCTTTGGGTCAAATTCTCTAGTCCACCATCTTAATCCCACTTCTGCTTCCTTGGTGTTTGTTTTGGGGCAACATTTCTGCTCCTTCCTTATTCCTGTCACACCCTCCCAAGTACAAATTTCCGTTTCCTTTTCTACTCTTCCCTTCAGGCTCTTTAATGGCGCCAGAGTGTTTTTTTTCTAAACCACAGCCCTGATCATGTGACTTCTTTGTTTAAAAGCCGTGAAGATTCTCCAGAGCTTTCAGGGCAAAGACTATTCCTTAGCTTAGTACACAGGCCTTTATGCTCTGGATCCTCCTCACTTCCCTGGTTCAGTTTTTGTCAATGTGTGTTTCTAAGAATAGTAGGGGAAAGGGAGAGAGTGGTTGTTTTCCTCCCGCAGGCCTTCAGTATGCTAGCTCGCGCTATCACTCTACAAGAGATGCGTAAGCTCTATGCAGCATTTTCTAGAGTGATGTGGGCAAGGACTCTCTTCTTATTCCAAGGATAATTTTGGAGTCCTGGTATTCCATGTAACACAATTTGGGACCTGCTCTTCCAATATTATCTCTTGGCACTCACCCTTGCACACTGTATTCTAGTCAAGTGGAGATCCTTGAGGTTCCCACAATATATGATGCTCTTCCTCGCCTATGTACCTTGCACAGACCTTTCCTCTGAGTTTTTTATCTAAATTGCTCCCATTTTTTTAGGGCAAGTGTCACAGCCTCTGAGCATCCTTGCTTTCCCTGCCTTCCTGGTTCTGCTTTTGAATGTTCTCCTGTGTGTGCCCATTAAGCTTGGTTACAGCACATGCTATCTACTCAAGTCTGACTCTGTCATAGTCAGAACGTTGTCCTATTTGGCTTTGTGTCACTGGCATCCAGCATATTGCCTGGCACAAAGTAGATGTTCAGTGACTGCCGAGCTCACAAGTGAATAAATGGTTTGGACTGAAGACAATGGAAGTCTGACTTAGGGGGTAAACACGGCTTTCCTACAGAAATACTTGTGATCAAGACAATGGCTAGAAGTAGCTGTGCAGTTTTTGGAAGGTGAAGGCTGGGATTTCAGGGGAGAGGGTGGAGAGGCCTAGAGGTGCTCTCTGGAGAAAACAGAGGGAGAAAATTCCCATTCAAAGAGCTAAACTGGTACAGGACTTCCCTGAAAATGTAGAATAGATAATAGAATAGAATCGGATTTTTAATATGACTTGTTCCAAATGTTAAAAAGCTTATATGTTCAATATTGAAAATTTGGAAATCACATAAAAACTTAAGAAGAACATATAATCTGATTATCCAAAAAGCATCTTTGTTAAAATTTGAGGTGGGCCTTTAGCTTAGATTCAACAAAATTGAATTGTGGTGTAATACTATTTTGAGACATGCTTTTCTTTATTTAATGATGTGCTATAATCATTTCTCCAAGTCATTTTATGTTCTTACATAATGTGATTTTAAAAAATAACTGCAGTGCATTTGATTGCATGCTACCTCCAATTTTGTTTGATCATTATTTATGTTGTACATTAGGCTGTTTAAAATGTTTACTACTTAAATAACATTGTGATGGATATCCCTGTGTATAAAAAATTTCTGGGTCAAAGAGTTAGTATATTCTGATGATTTTGATTTACAGTACCAACTCATCCACTAGAAAGATTATATCAATTTATATTTTAATCAACAGGATATGTGAGCAATCATTTTCACTCACTCTCATCACTTAGATTTAAAAAAATTCTGAGCTATTTTGGTAGATGAAAAATGGCATCGATTTTAACTTCCATTTTTGGTTGTTATTAGTGATGTTGGAAAACTCACCAGGTAGGTTTTGGCCATTTGAATTTATTGCTTTATAAATTGCTCTTGCCCATTCATATTGGGATATATATTCTGATTTATGGATAGAATGTGATAAGGTTTTACTCCTAAATTATCTTTTGAAACACAATAAATGTTACAGATGTTCTAAATCTGAAACATTAGATGTGAACAAATCCCTAACACTCAATGGCAGCCGTGTGAGAGTCTTGGAGGCTCAGGGATGAAGTGGTGGAACTTTGGACCAATTAATTGCAGCCCCCTCATCTGTGTTGTCAGAGTACATTTTAAGTAACTCTGTATGTACTTATTCCTATTGTGTTTTGACTAGTAATCTCTGTACATTTTAGTGAAAAAACATAGGTTTTGGATTTAAAAAGAGCTGGGTTAGAATTCCCATTCTACTTTTCTATTTGTGTGAATTTGGAATTTAATGTTTTTGGGCCCTAATGTTGCCTTCTTTTCTGTAAAATTGGGTTAATGCTATCTATCGTCTTGGGTTAGTGTTTAAATTAAGTGAGATAATGTAAAAAAAAAAAAAAGTCTAGGTCAAAACCAAGGACATTGTGGATGTGCTGTAATGAACATAGCAATTTATAGAATTTCCTGGATTGCCTACTATACATGATTGAGCAAAAAAACTAATGTATACTCTTTGGCAAAATCTTTCCTCCTCCACACTGTAGGAAAGTCTGTCTTACCAAGTTGGTTCTGGCTCTGCATACAAACCTGGGGGATCAATGGAGAAGGAGTTGAGTGGAGGAAGGGATCTGTTAGTTACAGCAACAAAGGTGAGAAAGACTTTGCTCTCCTCAAGGCTGGGAGGCAGTGAAGCCTCTCGGATTAAAGTAATCATGCAAGGTCTTCCCACTCCAGAGTCTGTGACCTGGCCAGGCTCCATCTATTTTAAGCCAAACTTATTCTGTATTTTCCAGACTGCATTCCCTTCCTAGTCATCCAGTGTCTCTGAGTGACATCACTGAATTCATCTGTATTTCAATCCTTTTAGCTAACATAATATCCTGTTGGGCTTTTGAAATGTCAGCAAAGTCTCAGGATACAAAATCAGCGTGCAGAAATCACAAGCATTTGTATACACCAATAACAGACAAACAGAGAGCCAAATCAAAAGTGAACTGCCATTCACAATTGCTATGAAGAGAATAAAATACCTAGGAATACAACTAACAAAGGATGTAAAGGACCTCTTCAAGGAGAACTACAAACCACTGCTCAATGAAACAAGAGAGGACACAAACAGATGGAAAAACATTCCATGCTCATGGTTGGGAAAAATCAACATCGTGAAAATGGCTATACTGCCCAAAGTAATTTATAGATTCAATGCTATCCCCATCAAGCTTCCAATGACCTTCTTCACAGAACTGGGAAAAACCACTTCAGACTTCATACGGAACCAAAAGAGAGCCCACATAGCCAAAACAATCCTAAGCAAAAAGAACAAAGCTGGAGGCATCATGCTGCCTGCCTGCAAACTATACTACAAGGCCACAGTAATCAAAACAGCATGGTACTGGTACCAAAACAGAGACATAGACCAATGGAACAGAACAGAGGCCTCAGAAGCAACACCACACATCCATAATCATCTGATCTTTGACAAACCTGAGAAAAACAAGCAATGGGGAAAGGATTCCCTGTTTAATAAATGGTGTTGGGAAAACTGGCTAGCAGTGTGCAGAAAGCAGGAACTGGACCCCTTCCTGACATCTTACACTAAAATTAACTCCAGTTGGATTAAAGATCTAAACATAAGACCTAACATCATAAAAACCCTAGAAGAAAACCTAGGCAAAACCATTCAGCATAGGCAAGGACTTCATGGCTAAAACACCAAAAGCAATGGCAACAAAAGCCAAAATAGACAAATGAGATCTAATTAAACTCCAGAGCTTCTGTACAGCAAAAGAAACATTCGTCAGAGCAAATGAGCAACCAACAGAATGGGAAAAAATTTTCACAATCTACCCATCTGACGAAGGGCTAATATCCAGAATCTACAAAGAACTAAACAGATTTACAAGAGAAAAACAAACAAGCCTATTCAAAAGTGGGCAAAGGATATGAACAGATACTTTACAAAAGAAGACATACATGAGGCCAACAAACATGAAAAAATGCTCATCATCACTGGTCATTAGAGAAATGCAAATCAAAACCACATTGAGATACCATCTCACGCCAGTTAGAATGGCGATCATTAAAAAATCTGAAGACAACAGATGCTGGAGAGGATGTGGAGAAATAGGAACACTTTTACACTGTTGTTGGGAGTGCAAATTAGAGCAACCATTGTGGAAGACAGTGTGGAGACTCCTCAAGGGCCTAGAAATAGAAATTCCATTTGGCTCAGCAATCCCATTAATGGGTATATACTCAAAGGATTATAAATTGCTTTATTATAAAGATATATGCTCATGTATGTTGATAGCGGCACTGTTTACAATAGCAAAGACCTGGAACTAACCCAAATGTCCATCAACGATAGACTGGATAAAGAAAATGTGGCACATATACACCATGGAATACTACACAGCCATTAAAAAAACGATGAGTTCGTGTCCTTCATAGGGACATGGATGAGTCTGGAAACCATCATTCTCAGCAAACTGACACAAGAACGAAAATCAAACACCACATTGTATCACTTATAGGTGGGTGTTGAACAATCAGAACACATGGACACAGGCAGGGGAGCATCACACACTGTGGTCAGTTGAGGGGGACTAGGGGAGGGATAGGAGTGGTGAGGAGGGTGAGGGTGGGGAGGGATAACGTGGGGAGAAATATCAGATATAGGTGATGGGGGCAGGAAGACGGCAAACCACCTTGCCATGTATGTACCTATGCAACAATTGTGCATGATCTGCACATGTACCCCAGAACCTAAAGTATAATAAGAAAAAAAGAAAGAAATGTTGGTTACCCTCTCCCATTTTCTCTTTTCACCTCTATGCCCTCAATTTTGGGTAGGATTAACATAGCTCCTGCCAGTGGGTGGCTCTATCCTCAGTTTCTCCCAATTCCGGCAGATTCATGAAGTGAATCTCCATCATCTACACTTCCCAGAGAC